ATGTACACGCAGTATCCTGGATAAACTAGTATACCAGTTAGGAGAAATTGGGATACTCTCACTGTTTTTTTTTTTTTTTTCCTGAGAGTATCCTGATTTCTCAACACTGGTGCTGTACTGAGCACGTGTGACCTCAAATAACAAAAATGGTAGGAGTAGTTACTTACCAAAACAACAACAAAATATTAATCTAATAGTATAATATTTTATACTAAAGTACTACAAAATAAAGCAGTCTACTGCTTAATACAGCCGCCTTTTAACCCCAGGCTCATTTCTGTGGTGGTTTGTGTGACACTCTGTCATCTTTTTTAACGGTTAAAAACACCTGTTACTGAAGCTGTGACAGAGCTCCACAGTCTTATGTTCTGACTAGAATCTTTGTTTTCTTTTTTGTTGTTAGGAACCTGTTAAAATGCCATAAGTTAACCCTTTAGGCACCAGGGTTTTTTTCCTAAAACGTTTGATTTTGACGTCTTAGTCCTGGTTTAGTCCTGATTTAATCCTGTTTTCATCCTGGTTCAGACCTGGTTCAGTCCTGGTTCAGTCCTGGTTCAGTCCTGGTTCAGTCCTGGTTCAGTCTTGGTTCAGTCTTGGTTTAGTCCTGGTTCAGACCTGGTTTAGACCTTATTTAGCTTGAATGAAATTAGATATCCTATTTGGCAAAATCGTCTGCTTTATTCAGAGTGGCATCTGGTCAACTTAAGTCGACAGTGGCGTCTAGAGGCTTAATAAATTTACTACATGTTTAGCTCCTCACCATAGCAACCACTTTAAATATCCCGGATACTCTGACGGTGCATGTACACAGGGACATGAGTATCCTGGTTTCTCTTGGCGCATGTAAACACCACATCCAGAATACTGTCAGAACTGGGATAAGACTCATAACCAGGATACTTGAGCTCATGAAAACACACTCAATAACAAGTGCAAACTCACTTGATACAATACACAACATGTGAGCATCTGTAGCTGTCTGTTCATTATAATTACATTCATTCATTTGGGGGAATTGCTGGTCTCTTCCTCTTTTAGCCATAGTAAAACATTGTATTTTTGTATTGTTAGGATCTCTCAAAGCACTTGAATGTTTCTTGTTTTTGACCATGTCTCATCTGTGGAAGGATTATCTGTTACATTAAAACTAAAATGCATGCCTCGTTTTCAATATAATATCCTTAACAAATCCATGTTTTTTTCTTTTCTGTGTCTGTATTGACTTTGCTGGCATAGTCTTTCTCTTTGTATTTTATTGTGATTGGCTGTACCACTACGTAATGTTGTGCTTTTTGTTTACATGCTGTAGGAGCACAAATGTAATATATCTCAATGGAGAGATTCTGATAAAGATTTGATCAAATAAACGTTTGCCCGTTTGTCTTATTGGAGTTTTGCAGCACGTCACCGCCATCTTGTGGTCAAAGGAAAAACTCTCACCTGTTTTGTAATTCATCGCTGTAAATTTTTGGGAACTTCACAAATCTACTACTACTACTACTACTACTACTACTACTACTACTACTACTACTACTACTACTATTACTATTACTCCACTCGAGCCAATCTCATCTGGTCACCCTAATCACATGGAGCAAGTAAAAGGAGCTGCAGCAACCTTTCAACAGCAAGGAAGACTATCAGAAGAGAATGTGAAGTGTTCAGAAAAGTGTGAATGAAGTTCTTAGAGCCAAACAAACAGACAAAAAGACGGAGAGCTTTTGGTTGAAGCTGCAGACACAGCAGGACCTCATCTGTAGTACACAGAGAAGGACTCATATCAAAAGGCCTGTGCTGTAGTGTTATACTGATATGGAGAAATGCACTGGAAAAGTACCTATATTTTGAAATACTGGTAGGAATTTAACCAGTACCAATACAAATTTTATATGGCTGCTGATGGTAGTTTAATACAATCTTGAAATTGCCACAGTCATTTAAAAACAAAAAACAAAACAAAAAACTATTACCTACATGCTTCATATCATCTGATTTTACTTGACATGTATAGGACACATTTGGCCTTTCTTTAACATTGACAATGCAGATTTTCAGATAACAATCAAACTTAACTTTAATATTTTTCACTTTGCAACTTTTTCTTCCAAACATGCTTTACACCTTCTGCTTAAAAACATACTATGTCAATCATTTTGTCTTTTCAATCACAATTCACATAAAATTAAATTGCATAGCTCCAGGTCTGCTTTCTGTTATAGCATATGATACGATTCAGTTAATCTTACTTTAAAAATGCTTTAATATTGAAAAACACACTTTACATTATAAATAAAAAATATATATTAAATTATGAAAATGTTTTTCAAATATTTTAAGTATACAGATTCATCCAGTTCTTTAAAGGTGTTCTGTGTGACACTGGCTTATTTGTCCTTGTTGTTGTGGGGCACATTGATCACACACGTCACACAGGCAGGATGTGAAAAAACTTCAGTCTTGTGGCAAGTTTTACACCTAATTAAAGAAAATGATTATTTGATTATGGGTACAATTTATAAATGCAAGTGTAAAATGTATATTCAGTGTAGCAGTACTAACTCATCAGTATGTGTATTATGATCCAGTACATACTTTAACAATGGCATCGTGTAAATCCTTTTCCAGACAGCACATAGATGCACATTTTAGATTTACCCCTCGTGGTGGAGCTGGTGATGCACTGTACAAACTGTGGGTCGTCCTTTATTTGCCTGTATACTTGTGTTGCATTTGAGTCCAATTTACCTGCGTGATAACTACTACTACTGCTGCTGCTACTACTGCGACTACTAATACTTGTTACTACTACTACTAAAACAAAGGCTACAAAATCTTAATACATTTTAAAGTAGCTTGTGCTTTATGAAAAAGACTGACTTTAGTAGTTTGAGAAAACATCTGATATTCATCTGACCACTAGAATCACAATTACATTTAATAATAAAGAAAATATACAGGAATATTGTGAGTGAGTTTATAATGCAAAAAAAAACAAAAAAACTTTGACCTGTGTCGTTTGGTGAGGGGATAAATATCTTAGAAATATGAATGAATGGAAATGTGCTCTAATTAATACTCAGTCCTCATACATATACTGTACTAAATCAGATTTATTGGTTGATTTGTATGAATTTGGTAATAAAAGCCAAAACATAATCCTATTTTTGTTTCGTTACTAAACTTATTGAGCTTTATCTTAAACTTAATTGTCCTTTAAAGGGTCAGTATTTCACTTTTTTCAATGTTATAATGTTGTTTCCTCATCAAAAACATGCAGGCTGTTGTGTTTTGTTTCATTCACTCATGTTTAACACAAAACTGCTCTACTAAACAAAAGTGTCTGTTAACTTGAAAACTAACCCTTCATGACATCACAAGGTGGAAGAGAGTATTTTGATCTTTGGAGATGAACAGACAGACTAAATAAAAAGATCTACTCAAACGTGTGAATGAAACAAAACACAACTCCAGATGTTTTTGAGGAAGTAAAACATTCCAACTAAGTGACCGGCTAGGGTGACCAGATTTTTAGGATGTTTGGTATAAATAAAATTGTAAAATAGTTTATTGTGGATTCTCACAGCAATTATGATCTGAGGAGCTGCTGTCACTGCATTTTTATTTATTTATTTATTTTTGCTTTATGGTCATTAGCAAATATAGTTCTCTGTATTTTTCCTAAACAACTGACAATTTATGCTCCTCTTTACTGTTAGCAGAGATCTGATTAGTCAAAAATGGTGATAGTCCTGGTTTAGACCTGATGTAGTCCTGGTTTAAGATCAGTTTAGTCCTGGTTTAGACCTGATGTAGACCTGGTTTAGACTCAGTTTAGTCCTGGTTTAGACCTGATGTAGTCCTGGTTTAGACCTGATGTAGTCCTGGTTTAGACCTGATGTAGTCCTGGTTTAGACCTGATTTAGACCTGGTTTAGACCTCCTGTGTTAGTCCTGGTTTAGACTCAGTTTAGTCCTGGTTTAGACCTGATGTAGTCCTGGTTTAGACCTGATGTAGTCCTGGTTTAGTCCTGGTTTACTGTTTAGTCTGGTTTAGACCTGACGTAGTCCTGGTTTAGACCTGACGTAGTCCTGGTTTAGACCTGACGTAGTCCTGGTTTAGACCTGTTGTAGACCTGGTTTAGACTCATTTAGTCCTGGTTTAGATCTGACTAGTCCTGGTTTAGACCTGACAAGTCCTGTTTAGACCTGTTAGACCTGGTTAGACCTGAGACCTGTAGTCCTGGTTTAGACCTGATGTTTCCTGGTTTAGACCTGACGTAGTCCTGGTTTAGACCTGATGTAGTCCTGGTTTAGACCTGATGTAGTCCTGGTTTAGACTCAGCTTAGTCCTGGTTTAGACCTGATTAGACCTGGTTTAGACCTAGTCCTGGTTTAGACCTGACGTAGTCCTGGTTTAGACCTGTTTAGACCTGACGTAGTCCTGGTTTAGACCTGATGTAGTCCTGGTTTAGACCTGATGTAGTCCTGGTTTAGACTCAGTTTAGTCCTGGTTTAGACCTGATGTAGTCCTGGTTTAGACTCAGTTTAGTCCTGGTTTAGACCTGATGTAGTCCTGGTTTACACCTGATGTTGTCCTGGTTTAAGGTCAGTTTAGTCCTGGTTTAGATCAAACAGGTCAAAAATGGGGACACCTGGGACATTTCTTGTATAAAACTGGGACAAATCTGCTGGGACAGGGGACACACGGCTCAAAACTTGGACTGTCCCGGGTAAACAGGGACGTCTGGTCACTCTACTTACACCTCAAGTCCATTTTGATTGATGTAGGACCTTTAAACTATTAGAAATCACCTACATTCTTAAAATAGGACAGGTTTTATTTGGATTTCACACTCGTGTCCGTTTTTATAGGATAATCAATAGCTTCCAAACTGCACAAACTGAACTTGACATTCCCGCAGCTGACGTCTTTTACGCACACGGTTACGTCCGGCTGTGCGCATTACCACATCACGTTGGGCTCCGTGTGTGAAGTTGGCCGATCCGCGGGGATGATGCCTGGATGACAGAGCCTATTATGCAGCGGTAGGACGCTTCTGGAAAAGAAAAAGGCGCACGTTTCCTTTGCGCCATTCGCGGCCTGAAACGCGACAGTGCGTCAGAGCTGCGCCAGAATGCCACAGCGCCGATGATGTTGTTGCAGTAGCGGGTATTAGCTGTTAGCAGAGGCCGAACAGTGCAGCCTTCACCGGGGAGGAGCGCAGCTGTTCAGCCCGCGGGAGAAGCACGGAGCCCGGCCACAGAATGAGAAGCAGGCCCTGAAAGCGAAAAGGCGACATCCACTGCAGGTATGCGACGGATTCTGCAAAAATACGCGGTTTTTGGACAGTTTGCATGAAAACAGGTAATGCATTTTACCTGTACGAGGACTAGGACAAAGAACACGGCGACCCTCTTACGTCTATCATCTGTACCTGCCGCTGTAAGAAGCTGAGGATTTGTTGGACAGGGTTTTGTCATAGTGCTTTGTCCTTTTAAGGTCATTCATTCACACGGGATATGAAATAAAAGCAACAAACCCACAGCGTTTAAAGTGCACCATCTGCTTCAATGTGGATTAGCTTTTTGCACGTTTTCCTTTTGCTCTAATTACTACTATGCTATGTGTAATTATGTCCAGTGTTGGGGAGTAACGGATTACATTTGCCGGCGTTACGTAATCGGAGTACAAATTATGAGTAACTGTATTCAGTTACAGTTACTGTTTCAGTGAGTGGTAATTGGATTACAGTTACTTTGTTGAAATAAATGGATTACATGGCGGTATTTTCCTGTTTTTACATTTTGGGCTAAACCAGGACTAAACCAGGACTAAACTAGGACTAAACCGGGAATAAATGAGGAATAAATCAGGTCTAAACCAGGACTACACCAGGTCTAAACCAGGACTAAACCAGGTCTAAACCAGGACTAAACCAGGACTAATCCAGGTCTAAACCAGGTCTAAACCAGGACTAAACCAGGTCTAAACCAGGACTAAACCAGGACTAAACCAGGACTAATCCAGGTCTAAACCAGGACTAAACCAGGACTAAACTAGGATTAAAACTAGGTCTAAACTAGAATAAACCAGGACTAAACCAGGACTAAACTAGGATTAAAACTAGGTCTAAACTAGAATAAACCAGGTCTAAACCAGGTCTAAACCAGGACAAAACCAGGACTAACCCAGGTCTAAACCAGGTCTAAACCAGGTCTAAACAGTATGAGACCTAACAGTAGGTGGACATACTCATATAAATTTCTCATTTCTCATATAAAAATCAATACTATTTTTAATCTGGTTAAGTAAAAACTGGACTTTTTATTTTCTTTTAACAGACAAAACTTCTTATGTTAAGATTCTGGTCTTTGCTTCTCTACAGTAAACAAAAGTCTGTTCATGGAGACTTGGGCTCAACAGACAATTTGAAGAGAACAAACATGAATTTTCAGGATGTGGTTGGTACATTCATGTAGTTTTAAAAGCATCCAAAGTATTCAGATTACATTACTCACTTTAAGTCATTTAATGGATTATGTTACAAACTATATTTTGGGGTATGTAATCTGTAATCTGTAGGGGAATACATTTTAAAAGTCACCTTCCCGACACTGTCTATGTAAATAGGCTGTATTGTGTTTTGCACTGTTACTACACAGCACTACACATGTACTGCACAGACATTCATGTTTATTTCTACTAGTACTAGGTTGTTATTGTGCAATCTTGGAGCTATTTGCATTTGACTCTATTAAACTCGTCGGAGCACAGTTGAAATAGAAATAGACTATATATAATTTTGTTTTGGTTCTGAGCTTGGGTGAGTAAAAATAAAACGTCCTGCCCACAAGCCTGAAGGTCGGAGAAGGTTCAGTGAATGATCTGCGTCACTGGTTTTGCATATGTTGTTGTGTCCTCGGGCAAGACACATGTGCTAGTCTGATTGGTCAGCGCTGGGTCGGTTGTGCAGGATGGCAGATGAAGACTGAAATACACTGTTGGGGGTTTTAAAAAGATGGTCCATTTCAGTGCAAAGTGGATTTCAGTGGATTTATCTTTACACTTTTGTGCGGAGTTCTTTTTGTGTCTGGGTGGGTTTTGTCCAAGGCGCTGTAGTTTCCTCCGTCAACCTAAAAGCGTCATAGGTGAAATCCAGTGTTGGGAAGGTGACTTTTAAAATGTATTCCCCTACAGATTACAGATTACATCCCCCAAAATGTAGTTTGTAACGGAATCCATTAAATTACTTAAAGTGAGTAATGTAATCTGAATACTTTGAATTACTTGATATTGTTTTGCTTTTTAAAACTACATGAATGTACCAACCACATCCTGAAAATTCATGTTTGTTCTCTTCAAATTGTCTGTTGAGCCCAAGTCTCCATGAACAGACTTTTGTTTTACTGTAGAGAAGCAAAGACCAGAATCTTAACATAAGATGTTTTGTCTGTTAAAAGAAAATAAAAAGTCCAGTTTTTACTTAACCAGATTAAAAATAGTATTGATAGAGAAATGATTTTTATATGAGAAATGAGAAATTTATGATATGTATGTCCACCTACTGTTAGGTCTCATACTGTTTAGACCTGGTTTAGTCCTGGTTTTAGTCCTGGTTTAGCCCAAAATGTGAAAACAGGAAAATGCCACCATGTAATCCATTTATTTCAACAATTACGTAACGCTGGTACATGTAATCTGTTACTCCCCAACACTGGTGAAATCCTCCAGCTACAGACAAGATTGACTTTAGCAGTTTGAGAAAACATCCGATATGGATCCAAACACTAGAAACACAATTACATTTAATAAAGAAAATATACAGGAATATTGTGAGTGAGTTTATAATGTATGAAACTTTGGCCTGTGTCGTTTGGTGAGGGGACAAATAGAAATATGAATGAATGGAAATGTGCTCTAATTAATACTCAGTCCTCATACATATATTGTAGTAAATCAGATTTATTTGTTGAATTGTACGAATTTGGTAATAATCGCCAAAACATAATTCTATTTTTGTCTAATTACTAAATTTATTGAGCTTTATCTTAAACTTAATTGTCCTTTAAAGGGTCAATATTACGCTACTTTCAATGTTATAATGTTGTTTCCTACGGAAGCCGAGAGGGGTCACAACAAACTCAAACGCCGCAACAAATACAAAGGCGACAACACATCAAAAAGCCACAACGGAAGTGACCGTGGGACTCTATTTTCCGACGGACCGATCAAGCGGCAAGTGAAGAAGAAGAACTACAACGTGAAACGAATAATGATAAAACAATAAATTACTTTTACTTACGTTTCCAACTTCTCCGTTCCTTTACTTTTCACGTTGTAGTTCTTCTTCTTCACTTGCCGCTGGATCGGTCCGTCGGAAAATAGAGTCCCGCGGTCACTTCTGTTGTGGCTTTTTAATGTGTTGAGGCTTTTTAATGTGTTGTGATGTTTGCGTTTGTGTTGTGGCGTTTGTATTTGTTGCGGCGTTTGCATTAAAATAGAGTCCCGCGGTCATTTCCATTGTGGCTTTTTTTGGGTGTGTTGTGGCTTTTTGTTGTGTTTTCGCATTTGTATTTGTTGCAGCGTTTGCGTTTGTTGTGACCTCTCTCGGCTTCTGTAGTTTCCTCATCATGCAGCGTGTTGGTGTTTTGAATTTACTTTTGGCTCGGACGAAACTACATATTAAAAAAAAAAAAGTCATGTGATAATACAGAAAGTGCTCCACTGTGTAGGTCTGGGTGGGTTTCGTCCAGGCGCTGTAGTTTCCTCCGTCAACCCAAAGCGTCATAGGTGAGATCCTCCAGCTACAGTCGTAACCAAGGCTCAAGATGTGGAGATGTGGAGATGGGTCCCTGGGCGCTGCACCGCGGAGCCCATCGCTCCCGAGAAGATGCCCCAGCGGTACTGAAGAATGGGTCGAACGGAGAGGGCAAATTTCCCCGTGGAGTGCCTTCGCCAATATCCCTTTCTCTCAAACCAATTTCACCAGCTCTGGAATCTGATAATGGATTTTTGTAGGCCTGAATGATTTTAGAAAGAAATTACAGTAAAATGAAAAAAAAAAATGCAATTGCAAATCCAGATTTAGTTTCGGTGCACATTTTAAAACCCAGATGAAATAATTGAAACGCAAACTATTACAGGGTTTTTAAAACATGTTTGTAGAGGTCTAAGCTACAGAGTTTGTAACATGGTTCGCAAATATATTATTTACAGGGATGGGACAAGATTTCGAGACAAAATTGCCTCAAGATCGTGCACGCATGAGAAAAATTATCTCGTGAGATTATTTCCCCCTGGATTTACCTTTGACTTGGACAAAAAAAGAGTTAAGAGCTGGTGAGTTGTCCAATTTGTGAAGCTGTAGTTCCAAAAAGTAGTACTACAATGATTTGCAAAGTATTACATAAAATAAATACAAATAGTGAAGCCAAAATTGTGAAATGGATTGCACTACAGTACTTATTTATTGCAAATTATGTTAAAATCTTGTTTTGTCTCATACTCTTGGACCTGATCTTGTGGTGTGTCTCGTTTCGTGAAAATTTTGTCTCATCCTGCTTCTATTTACATAATAAAACCCTTTTGAATTGAGACACAGATAGATTTAGATAGATGTAGTCCTGGTTTAGGCTCAGTTTAGTCCTGGTTTAGATTAAACTGGTCAAAAATAGGGACACTTGGGACATTTCTTGTATAAAACTGGGACAAATCTCTGGTTTTGTGTAAATCTGCTGGGACAGGGGACACAGGGCTCAAAACTTGGACCATCCCAGGTAAACAGGGACGTCTGGTCACTCTACTTTTTAAACTAATGGAAATTACCTACCTTCTTAAAATAGGACAAGTTTTATTTGGATTTCACATCACGCGTGTAGGTTTTATAGAATAATCAACAGCTTACAGGGAGCTTACACCTTTAATTACATAACAAAGCCCTTTTGAATTGAGACACAGATAGATTTAACACAAGTTTTTCTCATCATATGGACAGATCTTGCCTCAGGTGAAAGCTCAGAACCTCCAGAATCAGTAACAGCTATGTGAAGGTGATGTTCATGGAATATAAAATCAAAAATGTTGCATGCAGTTCCTTTAATTTCCTTTTATTGACATGTCAGTTTTATTAAAAGCTTTTTGTCTGCACTTTCTCCACAGATATGGCGTCCCAGGTACAGGTCTTCTCCTCTCCATCTGTCTCCTCCAGCGCCTACTCCCGCTCCAAAAGGCTCAAAGTGGAAAACCCTTCTTGGGACCCAGTGTCTAACAACCAGCTGGACAACAACAACTACTACCAACAGCAAAGCCCGGCGCAGGGAATCGCACCCTCGACCTCCGGCTCCTCCTTCAACGCCAACCACGTCTACAACTCCAACGCTCAGACCAGACAACCGGAGCAGACTGTCGTGCGGGCGGCCGACAGCACCGGGAGCCTGCGCGGTCCTCCGTCTTGCTCCTCGTCTTCCTCCACTTCGAGCCGGCGCGTTAAAGATGCGGAATCGACGTCGCAGCTCTACCACAAACAGTACAGTCTGAAGCGAAAGAGCGAGGAGGTGGACAGCAGCGACAGTGTACAAATATTAGAGGAGCTATCGGCGCCCGTGGTTTCGAACCGGACGGCAGGAGGAGGGGGGACCACCACGGCGCAGTCCATTGCACATTCTACGTCTACCACCAAAAGCAGCACGTCTCACAGCGAGGGGGACTATCAGCTCGTGCAGCATGAGATCCTGTGCTCCATGTCCAACAGTTACGAGGTGCTGGAGTTTCTGGGCAGGGGGACGTTCGGGCAGGTGGCGAAATGCTGGAAGCGAGGGACCAATGAGATAGTGGCCATTAAAATCCTGAAGAATCATCCGTCGTACGCGCGCCAAGGTCAAATAGAGGTCAGTGAGCCACTGTCTGTTTTTGTTTTTGTGAACCTATTGATACTTTGCAGTTGATGTCCTCAACGTTCTCTGCACTGAAAAAAAAAACTTCTATGGACAGTAAAATATATTAAATCAACTGTGGTCATTTTTACACTGAAATAACACATTCTGAGAAGAAGTACAATTTATTTAATAGCAATGGACAAAAATTTTACTCATGTAGTCGCAGTATTGTGTTTAACGAGTAAGTTCTACTGTATAATCACCAATATGATGTAAGAGTTTTACAGTCATTACTCACAAACCCAACAAAATATTAATTAATACCAAAGTCCTTCTAGATAAAGAAAAGCTACTTTTTGTCCACCAATCTCAAAGTTGGCAGTTTGAATCCCACTCTCAACAGAAAATGTCATTGGTACACACTGGTGTGTGTGTGTTTGTGTGTGTGGTGTGTGTGTGTGTGAACGTGTGCGTGTGTGTGTGTGTGTGTGTGTGGTGTGTGTGTGAACGTGTGTGTGTGTGAACGTGTGCGTGTGTGTGTGTGTGTGTGTGTGTGTGTGTGTGTGTGTGTGTGTGTGTGTGTGTGTGTCGTGTGTGTGTGTGTGAACGTGTGAGTGGTTCCTTGTTGTAAAGTACTCTGAGTACCTTGAAGGTGGAAAAGCGCTGTGTAAACCATTTATTATACATCAGTAAATACTTGACATATAATATTTGCTTAATTATTTCACCACAACAATGCAATTAATTATGACAATATGTTACATATTTTACTTAATTTATTTACATAAATATGGCATCTAACTTTCTCTAACTTTACTCTAACTTGAGTCAAAATGATTCAGTAAACTCATGACTGTTAATCATGGTGGTAAGTACATTTGACTTAATACTGACAAGTAAAGTGCACCTGATATTACAGCAGTAAAATTTACTTTAAAAGTATGACGATATTTTCTAGTAAATCGTACAAGTTCTTTTTTTCAATATGGAACTGTTATACTAACTTTAGTTACTGTTCTGTCTGTGTTACTCAAGTTTGACTTTAATCTGAACTTTGTTTTGATGCAATCTGACCAGAAAAAACTGATTTAGTTGGAACTACAACAAGTGAGAGAGTGTTTTCTAATCCTCCCAAATAACGTCAAATAACAGATCCAAGCTAGCGTTAGTCATCAGTTTTTCCATCAGTCACGCTCACCTTCTTCCCAAACTCCTAAACAGGACCATGAACACTCGTATTACTCACAGGCTCCTGTAATATGTTGTTGAAATCCATTTTGTGTTTTTTTTTTAGCTTTTGGACTTGCAGTGTTTGCTAAAGTGTGCATTGTGTCACCATGGAAAATGTTGAACATTTCACCATACACTTCCGAGACACATGCAGAAAACCCCCAGCATGATGTCAAAAATATGACAAAGTATCAGTAGAGTCCTGTGCCAGTCAAATCACATCCAATCATCTGAATGCACAGGAAAGATTAAGTGGGGGATTTAAATTTTATATTGTCTTGCAGTTGGTTCATTTCTAGAGTCTTGGGGCAAAATCAAGTGATATTCTGGGAATTTAAAATTGCCAAGATAAGATCTGTGATGTTTCTCATTTAATGAAAAGTAAAACATGGATTTTGAAAAGATTCCATGAATAGAGAATAGACTCTATGAAACCGTTTTTATCTTTGATTAACTACATGACTCAACATGAACTCTTTCTTAACTACACTTGAAAAGAATAAAATCTCTTTTGCAACATTGTCCTGGCCCAGAGGCAGCAGCTGCACAAAGGCAAAACACACACAATTCCATATACTCACACATACAAGCAAGCAGCGTCGAGACAGTCTTCAGTAAAGTGTTTATATGCAGATGACTTTGTTTAAGTTCAGATGATTTAAGTTCAGTTGATTTAATAAGAGCTGCCACAGTTTCCCCAGTACCATCTACATGAAGTTCTATCTCACCTAATAATATCATAACATGTTGTAATTATTTGTCTGCAGGTGAGCATCCTGAGCCGCCTGAGCACGGAGAACGCAGACGAGTTTAACTTTGTGCGTTCCTACGAGTGTTTCCAGCACAAGAACCACACGTGTTTGGTGTTCGAGATGCTTGAGCAGAACCTTTATGACTTCCTCAAACACAGCAAGTTCAGCCCTCTCATGCTCAAGTGCATTAGACCCATCCTCCAGCAGGTGGCGACAGCGCTGATGAAGCTGAAGAGCCTTGGGTTGATTCACGCTGATCTGAAGCCGGAGAACATTATGCTGGTGGACCCTCTGAGGCAGCCCTACAGGGTGAAGGTCATAGACTTTGGATCGGCCAGTCACGTGTCCAAGGCTGTGTGCTCCACCTACCTGCAGTCGCGCTACTACAGGTGAGTGGGGGAATATTATCACTATTTCACGAGCAAGGAGCACACAATGGAATATGATAAAGATGTTTATTGATGGCGGATAGATGGGGAGGCTCAGGATGGAGGTACAATCTCCAATCCAAAATGGTCACCCAGCTGAATCCTCCTTGAAGATGACGTCTTCAGACAGAAGGATGGGCGAAAGACATGAGTGGGAGGGAGGGGGTCGAGAGAGCTGACGCAGACCGTAGGCCGTATAAACAGGGCTTCTGGGTAATTGAAGGCGTAGTTGAGATAAGATGTGTTTGGCTGGAGAGGAGGTTGAGGCGTGGTCCAGCTCCTGAATCTTAGTTAATCATATTGACTCCATTTAAAGGGAATATTGTGCTAAAATAATGTAATATGTGTTTTGCAGTGTTGAGTCTGTTATTTTCCATTCAAGCTGGCTTCATCCTGTTGACTTCCTCTAAGTTATGAATTATGAAATATCAAATAAAATTTCTGTCCCTTTTTGTAATATAAAAAAGTCACACATTTTTATGTTATATTAAAAAAAATTAAAATTTTTTTGGAGCCAGATCATGATTTTTATCATGATCCATGTACTCCTGTTAAACTGCAGTATTTTTACTTTGCTTTGCAGAGGTAAATAAAGTCATCTGCTTCTTGTCTGTAAAGAGCATAGAGCTGCATTTAACTGAAAATTTGTGTCACAATATGAATATTTTCACACAAAAAAACAATAGATTTTTATCACTATGTTGCCCAGTATTTTAAGCAGTATAATAATAGTAATAGTAATAGTAATAGTAATAGTAATAGTAATAGGGCCCGGTCAAGCAGAAGTAAACAGCAAGGCCAAAAATTCAAGTTAATGCATCTGATATAAAAATGTATTGAACAGATACATATGTACTCTAGTTTATGAAACTGTTGACCTTTTTTCTGTACCATTTTTGGTTCTAAAGTTCCATAGGTTTTAAACAGACCATGTATGAAACATGGAACAAAAATTATTTCCCAAATTTCAAAGACCCAAAAATCATGTCAATAAATGGATGTATTTCATCATATCTTGTGTTATTTCCATCTTTGAACTGTTGATGAAGGTACAGGATTTTTTCAAAAAAAAAAAAAGGATTTAAAATGATAAAAATTTGCTTGGAAGGACTGACATATTTTATAGAAATAGTTTCCTTTCATTTTGAAGTAATATTGAAGTATTCAGAAGAAAAAAGTTGACAAATTATGTAAAATCATGCACCTTCTACTTGTTTGCAACAATTTTCCCTCCGTTACCATGACCTTTCTTAATAAAAAATGTCATGACTCAAAAAGTAAGAGGTTTTTCAACCTAATCTTGTACCATATGGTAGAAAACTATATGAAGCAAATATTCAAACCAGTTTGTTAAGGATATGGAAGTGAGAATGGCTAGCTATCAGTCTTTGTATTTGTTGCCCAAAAAGTGCTGCATATTTCATTCCCTCCGTTACCGACATGAGTTTTAAAATTCTCTAGTTTCTGAATAAGAGCTGTTTGAATGTAAAAAATCTGCCCGTTTCCCTCCGTTACCACTTGACCGGACCCAATAGTAATAGTAATAGTAATAATAATAGTAATAGTAATAATAGTAATAATAGTAATAATAATGAATAGTGCCCTTGTTTCCATTGCATTAGGATAATTATAAGAAATATATCCCGTAAGCAGTTTACATTCAAAATAGATTATGGTCAAATTATATACAGTATACATCATATTTATTTATTTATTTTTTTTAATGTATTTATTTAAAGCAAAGACAGTGCACAGAAAACATTAATCTCAGAGAGAAAAGATGCTCTGTGCCAGATTCAGCTTTAAGCTTCTTTCCATCTGCAGTCCTTGGGCAAGTACAACATACATTAAAGAGACTATTTACCTTAAACCAACTCTTACAACAACATTTCATCAGTAACAGTGCCTCCTTAAAATAAATACCATTTCCAATTCATCATTAATATTTTAGAAAGTAAGTTTATTTCTATTGTCGCTTTTCACAGACATTTGTCACAAAGACAATTTACAGACCATTTTCACTAAAAAAGCAATAGATTTTTTTACCATGTTGCCCAGCATTTTAAGCAGTATTCTGGCTGGTGTACTACTTGTAATACTTGAATTCTAAACTGTTTAACTGACCTTCATAATTGTAATGTAAATAAAAGGATGACATCATGGTACAGCTGACTAAAAAGCTTCAAAATGTATCTGATCTTACATCTGCGGTGGATAATTAACACAAAGAGAAAAACAAGGCAACATTGATTGTGTGTTTCCTTCATTCAGTGACAATAAATCAATCAAACAATGAAAATACAATTAGCATCTCCTTCTGATGTACACAGACACAAGACACCCACAGTGAAGCCAAGACACACAACATTAACAGCAGACAGTTATTTAGCTCACTGACAGCTGTTGGGGAAAAGCTTTTCAAATCTGAAAGGATTTACAAACCAAATTAGATTAAGAAAAATGGAACATTCAGCTGAAAATAATCCTAACAATTTTATTATAAAGAGCTAGAGATGAAACTTGGAATAACAATGATCTGCTTTCTGGGTTGTTACAGAACGTTGTCAGTTATTTGTGATGTGTGTTTGTCCCTCAGAGCTCCGGAGATCATCCTGGGTCTTCCCTTCTGTGAGGCCATCGACATGTGGTCTCTGGGCTGTGTGATCGCAGAGCTGTTTCTGGGCTGGCCTCTGTATCCCGGAGCCTCTGAGTACGACCAGGTCAGAAGAGATCACTGTCACTAAGGCTGAGTCTGGTTTGGTCTGGATGTAGACTTGGTTTAGTCTTGTTCTAGTTCTGGTTTAGTTGGTGCGTGGGAGCAAGTGTGAATGCACTCATACACTAAAGACAACATCCATCCATTTTCCAACATATTAGCTTTAATAGTCGAGTGCTGTGTGACCATTTCATTTCTTTGTGTTTAGTTTTACCCTGATGATGAGTGACATTTTGAATAGTGCCCTTGTTTCCATCACATTAGGATAATTATAAGAAACATATACCATAAGCAGTTTACATTCAAAATAGATTATGGTCAGATGATATATGTGTCAAATTTATTTTATTATTATTCATTGATGTATTTATTTATGTATTTAAAACAAGGACAGTGCACAGGAAACATTAATCTGAGGGAGAAATGATGCTCTGTGCCAGATTTAGCACCAAGCTTCTTTCTATCTGCAGTTCTTCAGCATGTACAACATATGTTAAAGAAACTGTTTACATTAGACCAACTCTAACAACAACAGTTAATCAGTTACAGTGCCTCTTTAAAATAAATACCCTTTCCAATTCATCATTAACATTTAAGTAAGTAAGTTTATTTATATATCACTTTTCACAGACATTTGTCACAAAGACGCTTTACAGAACATTATTCCCTCACTTCATACCTGGTGATGGTGAACTCCTAATGTAGCCACAGCTGTCCTGGGGCTGCCAAACAGTGCCCCTCTGACTACCACCATCACTCGCACACAACATTTATACTAGGCAATGTGGGTGATGTGTCTTGCCTAAGGACACATTGGCAGTTTTTTTGTGACTGGTGCCCCCCTGTGGGACCTGATTTTTCCAGTGGTCTCCCATCCAAGTAGTACTCAGACCCAGCCTTGCTTTTCTTCTGAGATCAGACGGGATCAGGCTTTGACAAGCCGGTATGGCCACATTTAAAGCAATCAAAATTCATTCATTCTAATTTAGATTTCAAATTCGTCCTTATCTTCTAAAAAATACTCATAGTTTCATTGTCATCAGTATCCTCTACCAAATCCATCAGTATTATCCCCTAAAATACAATTCATCAACAACATGACCATCAAGACCAACATCAATCAAAGTTAATTTATTGTCATTTAATAAAGCAGCTAATTAAAAAAAAAAAGCAACTACTGAATGAATGAAATGAATACAGAAACTGAACCCCATCCCAACTAAAAGGGCACTTCAAATGGACTATCCACAGTGACTAAGGCTGCCTGATATCACAAACATACTGGTATATTGTTTTCCTCATTTTGATATTTGATTTGATTTTAACAAATAAAAACGGCTTTTAATGTTCATATCCAGAACATATGCAATACAGACTTTTAATCAATGCCATTTAACACAAAAATAGTCAAATGTGTAATTCCTCTTAAGTGTGAACTCTGCTCCAAACCACTGTCGTTCATTGATTATTAGAAATGAATGAGTCTCGATCTTAATTCAGTTTGACTAATTCCTCAGCCTGAACAGTGGCTGTAAAGTGATTATTCTGTTTCTCTGTCAGATCCGGTACATCTCTCAGACACAGGGCCTTCCAGCAGAGTACCTCCTGAGCGCAGGCACCAAAACCAGCCGCTTCTTCAACAGAGGCCCCGACTCCAGCTACCCCCTGTGGAGACTCAAGGTAACACTCTGATCTCATCAGTGCTGGAAGAATAGGACATGTATTTTGTTACAGAAAACCTGCATTAAATGTATTTCATACTTTATTTTTATTTACTTGGTCCAATCAGAGTTAGAATAGTGAATTAAAAATATCTTTATGATGACTATTGTGCATTTATTTATCACTTATTAGAGAAGATAAAATCACACATGCAAACACTATGAGAGCAGTTTTCATTCTCACTAATACTGTGTTTTGAAGCCCAACTTGTCTGATTAAATACCACAATGTATTCCTTTGATTGTGGGAATGTAACTTTACTCTGAACACCACCAAATGAAGTAACTGTACTGGAATACAGTTATTGTATTTTTTGGACTATTAAGGCACACTTAAAATAATTTAATTTTCTCAAAAATAGACAGTGGGCCTTACAACTGGGTGCACCTTATGTATTAATTCTGGTTGTGCTTAGTGACCTTGAACCAATTTTATGTGGTACATGGTGCTCAAAAATCTGTCAAAATGTTTTAGTACAACTTTGGTAAACTACAAAGCCTCACCACTTGATGGATTGTCGAAGCATTATCATACCATACTTTTACCATAAACTACTATAGTCAGGAGCCTTGCTGAGTTCGTTCGACAGAAGCTGACCGCATCAGGGCACAAGGAGCGAGCTGTTTTTTTCAGCACTTATAGTTTATGCAAATGAACCATGTGGTTTTAAGTTTCATTTCTGTAAAACCTAAACAAATGTGCGTAAAGCTGCATTAAACACATTATTACTCAATGTATATTTGAGTTGTCCTCGTAGGAAATATAAACAAACTTAAATTATCCACCCACATTCCTATTCATAATCCACATTCACCAAGACAGGGAGGCAACACCGGGCGAATTACACCACAATCTGCCAATGGATTGTGGACGCCTGGGCTAAGGATCAGTCTCAAGTGTCATCCGTTTGTTTCACTTAATGTGCCTTATAATCCAGTGTGCTTTATGTATGAAGATAAACGAGTGAATTCAACATTATTGATATTGCACCTTATAATCTATAGTTCGAAAAATACAGTACTCAAATGTAAAATTCTGAGTATGTATTTTCGGTACATGTATTTAGTTACTTCCCAACATTAGTTATACTGTAAACTGTGCTGAATCTACTAATGTGAATGTGTTTTTGTGAAGACACCATCAGAGCACGAGGCAGAGATGGGGATTAAGTCGAAGGAAGCGCGGAAATACATCTTTAACTGTCTGGACGACATGATGCAGGTGAGGAATTACAAAGTGCACGTATTTATTAATAATGCAATTTCATTATTCTACTACCACTGCTTTGGCATAGTGTTGTCAAAACAATCTAAAATCAGATACAAATCAGTAGTAAAGACAATATTGAAGCTCAGTAACTCAGTATCAATGCTTTCAGTTGATTACAGTTGATTGTCCTAAAGAAGTGTTTTTAAAGTGATCATTGTGGTATCGAAATCAGTATCGAGTATAAAGATTATATTCCTTTTGAGTTTGAAATTAACTATTTAGAACATTTTTCTTTGGCACAATTGTTTTATACTACTTACCTAATGGTACTTTTCATATATTGCAGTCTAATCACGATCATGCAGCCCTAACTTGAGCCTTATTTCCTGACACTTGCCTGTGTATTGTCGTGCGTCTCTTCAGGTAAACATGACTAACCTGGAGGGCACAGACATCTTGGCGGAAAAAGCCGACCGCAGAGAATTCATCGACCTCCTGAAGAAGATGCTGACTCTGGACGCAGACAAACGCATCACCCCCATGAAAACCCTCAACCACCCCTTTGTGACCATGACCCACCTGCTGCACTTCCCCCACAGCTCACAGTAAGAGACGCACTCATCATTTCCACTGTTTCACATTTCTTATACTCATGTCTTTTGTAATGTGCCCGTTTATATCTTGGGCTACACCATTTTGAAAAGAAAATCAAATTGTGTTTTTTCTGGCAGGCAACTGTGATTAGATTTGAAATAAAATAGGAGACTGTGAGTGCATCATGTAAACAACTTGTTAACATTTCAGAGAAAACTGAAATATGAACTGATAACTAAATACTAGAATCCTAATCCTGCATTTCAGAACTTGTTTGTAGATTTCTAAACTACAGAAAGTACTTCCTGATTTTTGAAAACACTGTGTTCCTTGCAGAGGACAGTGTATCATTTAAATAAGCCTTTGAGGTTTGATATTTGCTTCAACTCAAATTGAGATTTTGATTTGATTCAGCCTCTGCAGACGTAAATGGTCACATTTTTGGTCATTTTTTGGACATTTGTTTTATATAGCTTCAAAACACTCAAAGTGCTTTACAACAACAGTACTCATCTGTGGGAGCAGAACCTGTGGGTCAGTGGATAAACTCTCAGATATAGCACCAGATCTGTAAGACTAGAAGGGAACTAGAACTAGATTTAGGGGCAAGACAACATTAGGGGGAATAACACTATAGAGAAGGGGTGGGCAATTATTTTTTCCATGGAGTCACATGAAAAACATTAAAAATATTGTGGAGGGCTGAGCCAGAACTCAGTTCTTCATAATATTAATTGTATTTCTTTATTTAAAAAAAAGAAAAAAAAGAAAAAAGAAATAACATTATTTTGACAAGCTGGTCAGACTGATAAAGAGTTTATGTTATGACAATTTTTTGTTTGTTGGTTTGTTTTTATTTATTTAAAAGGGACAATGCATATTCATGAACATATACTTGTAAATACGCCAGAGTCCAAAGGTGACTTTTCATCTGTAGTCCCTGGCAGGTCAGACAGATAGAGACAGAATAAGACAACATTACACAACAGACAAACTGTCAATGACAATGCATAGGACTAAGCAATGAAAAAGTGAGGTTGCCTTACCTAAAATGTCATTTGTGTCAGTCCATGCTTGTGGTAAAATGATATATGTTTATTTTGCAATTCCAAATTGTCTTAAACGGGCTGATCAGAGTCAACCAAAGGGCCATGTGGCCTCGGAGCTGGACAATACCCAGGTCTGTTATAGAGCTTGTCAGGTGTAACTAATGATTGCTTTTTAGTTTTAATGTCAAAATTTATCAAATCCTATTTTACTCACAATATGTTCGACTTTGATGTAATTTATTCCATAAATAATAGACCTATATGTAAATCAGCACATGAATAAGCTTTTCACAATATGTAGGTATGATAAATAGTGTGAATGAAAACAAGGATAAAGTAATGATTTGAACAGATTTTGTTGATGATGTTACGATGAATATTACAAAATGACTATCTCAGTGTTCATACTTTGTTGTAATGTAAATGATTTTTGTAGCTTCTCTAAATTGGATACTATGTCTGAATAAATGGATGAATTAAACAGATAAAGTTGAACTCTCTTTTCCTTTTCAGTGTGAAGTCGTGCTTTCAGAACATGGACATCTGTAAACGCCGCTGCAGCGCCTTTGAAAATGGGAAGAACATGTTCAGTAACAACACTCCGAGTGCAGCCACCAACCTCACGGTGACCTTCAGCAGCCAGCTCAACCAGCACAACCAGGTCAGAGCACACGGAGTCTCACACATCTGTAGCTCCCATAACAGGATAAAGACATGGAATAATGTCGCTCTTTCACCAAAAATAAATCAAGTGGAGTGTTTGGTTGTGGGATCTTTATGGTACATGGAATAACTCCTTCTTGAGAGCTCAAATAGTTGTTTCTTTTGTTCACGTCATGTTGCCAAACAGCTGTGCTACTAAGACATATGAACAGAGATGTGCAAAAATGATCCAGTTCTTCTTTATAAAAATGAAAACAGATGTACAATGTGAAATACTATTGCAAAACAAATGCAATCAGAGACAGCAACCTGGTCCCCATGAGGCATTGGTGGGTCAGTTCATCACCACAGAAACAGTTTATGAGGAGCCCAGTCCATATCACATGATCATTATATCCACAATGTAATGTGTGTATCTGTACAGGCCCATGAACATTTGTGTGATGTTGGTCACACATGAGAATGTGTGTGTTTACTAGTGTGGAACCAAAATGTCATTTGTCATGAGTTGTGTGTGTGTTAGTTGTGTGACTGTAGATCAGTGTGTTGTGTATCACCAGAAAAACAAGAAATGGAAATTATTTTTGTTCTAATTAGTGATTATCTGGAAAACTATTCATATTTTACTGTACAAATTTCTGAGATTTTGAGACACTCCCATTGCTCTAGCTCCATCCTTCACAGAGTTATGAGCAAAAACGCATATTTGACCTTGGTTACCTTGACCTTCAAGTGACCTTGATCGGTTTCAACCTGTAACATCCAGTGAACCCCGGTTATTTGTGCGCCAACTTGTGTGATGATTGGGTGAATATTTTAGCCCCCAGATGTTTCAGAAATTGCCGAAATTGCCCGATCCTTTATAATGGTGTGACCTTTCAAATGACCCGTGTGACCTCAAATGACCTCGGATAGTCACCAAAAATTTTTTTGCGGCATCAGGTACGCAGGGTTGACCCATGTACCAAATTTGGTGACAATCTGTCCATAAATGGCGGAATTATCACAGGCGGACAGACACACACATAAACACACAGGGTGAATACAAAACCTGGTCAGGGACCAGGTAATTATCATTTCAGAATGTTGGCCATTATTGAACCTCAAAGACGTGATTGTTGTCAAGTAAAAGGACTTAAACACATAAAAGGAAAATGTTATGAACCCAATCCCTAACAAATAAAGATAAAATTCAACATTAGTGGGTCAGAAGTTTGCATATTTCTAAGTATTTTTGAGCTATAAAAGCAGCTGTAACTGAATGAATGTAATGCAGAGCTGTTTAATGTCACACTGTGGAACATTTCAGGCAAAGCATTGACATATTCATTTAAACAAGCAGGGGACAGACCTCCAGCCAAAAAGTTACACCTTAAAGCTTGTTTTTCATGTGATTTTTTTCTGTTTTCTTGCTCCAGATGGCTGCGACAGGAGGCCAGTCCCTGTCTCTGAGCAGTAATGTGCCGTTACTGAACTACCAGCCTGGACTTTACCAACAGGCCACCATCAACATCCCAGGACTGACCCAGCAGAGCGTCCCTCTACAGACACGCTCCAGCCAGCTCTGCCCCCAGACGGAGCCCTTCCAGCAGACACTCATCGTCTGCCCCCCCACCATTCAAGGTACACACTCTGCTTTTTCTCTGTCATTGTATCTGGTGCTTAGTGCTCTTCATCTGTTTTTGGTTGTAATTTTTTCTACATTGACAACAGATGAAAATGATCTCCTGTGCTTTAATCTGGCATGTTTGTAGTAACAGATGTTTATTCATATGTGCTGTCTCTTTCAAGTTAATAAATAAATAAATGGATAAAATTAGTGTTGTAGTACACAAGACGGGTCTTGCACAGAGCAGGCCTACAGCACAGCCTAATAAAAGTGCTCATCCAATCCATCTGTATTAGTCACGAGGTACGTTTGGTAGATGTCCAGAGGCTGTTCAATATCATTGCAAAACCAGTAAGATAATGAAACTTCAGTTAGGAAAACAGGTTTAAAAATCCTACACACTTTCTTCACTTTGATGCAGTTTTCTGTAAAGTGCCGCTGATATATATGTGCCAAAATAACTAAAATACATATAAATGACAAAAATGACAAAGATCACTGTATTGGACCGTTGTGTTGAAGAGGGAGCTGAGTCGAAAGGCAAAGCTCTCGATTTACCGTCAGTCTTCGTTCCTCCAATCACCTATGGTCATGAGCTCTGGGTAGTGACCGAAAGGACGAGATCGCGGCTACAAGCAGCTGAAATGAGTTTCCTCTGCAGGGTGACTGGACGCTCCCTTAGAGATAGAGTGAGGAGCTCAGTCACACGGGAGGAGCTTGGAGTAGAGTCTCTGCTCCTCCAGGTTGAGAGGAGCAGTTGAGGTGGCTCAGACACCTGTTCTGGATGCCTCCTGAGCGTCTCCCTCGGGAGGTGTTCTGGGCGTGTCCCACCAGAAGGAGGACCCGGGGAAGACCCAGAACATGCTGGAAGGATTATGTCTCTGGGCTGGCCTGGGAACACCTTGGGGACCCCCCTAGAGGAGCAGGAGGAAGTGTCTGGGGTGAACGAAGTCTAAGAGACCCTGCTTAGACGGCTGCCCCCATAACCTGGCCCCGAATAAGCGGAAGAAAATGAATGAATGGAAATTACAAAGATGGTCTCGATTTGGTCTTGATGGACTGTGGTCTTGATCTTGTCTCAATCTAGACCTTTAAGAGTCTCGGTTTTTTATCTTGGACTTGGTCTTGTCTTGGTCTCGGGACCCTGTGGTCTCGGTCTCGATTAGTGCAGTCTTGACTACAATACTCAATAAAATAAGATATAATAAGACATTGCAACAGGAGGAGATGGAATGTGAGTGTTGTGTTCTGCTATTAATAATATTATGTTTTCAAATTCGACTACACAAAAATAATAGAAACAAGTAAAAAGAATATTTGTTGTCATTCAGTGAACAGTACTTCTGTCCTACCCCACAACCAGAAGGTCCCTAGTTGAAGGACTGTATCCTGTCATGTCATATCATTTTTTCTTCATTGCCAAAAGATTAGCACGTTTGCTCTAATCTGTCATATTTTCTTTATAATCACAGATGTTCATTACTGTGCACTGACCCTGTCAAATTAATTAAATAAAAATATGAATTAAATATACATGATGTGTGCAATGCATGGCAAAATCATAAAAAAGAATTCCGTTGATCTCCAACAAAAATAAGGGAATACTAGTTTATGCCTTTAATTATTGTGAACAGCAGAATGAACAGCGCTTTGTAATGAATGTGTCTGAAATTAAAGCATGTTGTTTGGTTTACCCTGTGGAAAAAAGAAATACATAAATATGAAGTACTTGCATCTTCTCTTCTGATACAGGCCTTCAAACGTCCAGTAAACCCTCTGGATATCCTGTGAGAATGGACAACTCTGTTCCTCTAGTTCCTCAAAACCAGTCGTCTCAGCCGCTCCACATTCAGCCCGGCATGTTAGCACAGGTATGTTTAGTCCATTTTATATCTCTGCTTTATATTCAAAGATTTTCTGTTGTTATTTTCAAATATGTTCTCCCATTTTTTCCATCAGCTGAGTCCTGTACACTAGACAAGTGCTCTTCTCAGGCAAGACACTTCACCTGCGTTGCATAATATGAATGTGTGTGCATGAATAATTGGTGGTGGTTGGAGGGACCGATGGCTCAGATTGGCAGCCTCGCTTCTGTCAGTCTGCCCCAGGGCTGCAGTAGTAGCTTACCAACACAAAGTATGGTGTGAATGAAAACTTGCAGTCTAGCACTTTGAGATGCTTCTCCCAGCCTGTAAAGCACATTACAAATGTAAGGTTAACTCAGCTCAGCTCTGTTTTCAAACATTTATTAACAGTTTAAATACACAATTTTCACAGACTTTGAGCATTTGAGTATTTTCCAGTAAAATTGTTTTTATTCCAAGAGGAAATGTGATTGATTGAGCACTTGTGGCACTTTGGCACAAAAAAAGCGATGCCAAATCAGGTAAGGTTCCAGGGCAGTGACAGTTCTGCCATGTGCCTGTAGCAGTGCACTGTCACCATGTGAGACTCACTTGATCTCTCTAAAGATGCTTTTATATCAACAGCCAGTGAAGTCCATGAACACTGACTCTGTGTTTCTGTGCCCACAGCAGGGCTGGCCCACAGGCACTCAGCAGATCCTGATCCCCTCCACGTGGCAGCAGATGCCTGGGATGACGCTCCATAATCCTGGGCAAGCTGTGGTCCCGGACTCACCCATGGGTGCTCCTCTGTCAGACCCCCAGCACAGTGCAGGGTGGAGGTATGTGATGATCTGACTGAAATGACTGAAATATCAGAAAGTCATCCAAGAGAGTTCAGCAAATCATTTCAAAAAGTAGAAATATGGATTAGGTTTGTCATCCAAGATTCTCAAAATCAAATGGAACTGTGACAAAGGGTGGCCTATTTTATCTTGTAATACTAAATATTACATTTTTTTTCAAAATTTTCAGTTGGCCTAATAATCTTAATGCTAGATTTTGGAGATTCAAAATGATTCGAACATTATAGAGTGGTAAATGTAATTACCAGACGTGACCCTGCAGACTGATGGGTTGTCTAGGTTTTCTACATTGTTTTAGTTAATGTATCTCTAAAGACATCTGTGTCATCAGCAGATAATGAACCAACAAATAATAACCATATCTCAATAAAAAGAGTAAAATAAGCCTGTTGTTTGATTCCAGGGGTCGTCATGGCAGCCAGTGTGACGGAGCTGCTCAGGAGTCCAGCCGCCATAACACAGGCCCCGCCCACTCCAGGTCCCAGCAGAAGAGAGGGAAGGGCCGGCACGAGAACAGAACCAGGTACACCGTGTCTACAGTACAATAATCAAACGACTACTCAGATGAAACAAACAAACAATGAAGCTGAATCATACTTAATGTAATCAGGACTATAAACATATTCTCTGTCTGACTGAATCCTGTTATTTCTCGCGTCAGAGCCGTGGTGGTGCACAGTACTGCAGCGGGGGACCAGTCTCAACCCATCGTGATCTCGGACACGCCCAGTCCAGCCGTCAGCATCATCACCATCCACAGCGACTCAGAGGACGAAGAGGACAAGAAGCAACCGCCCACCTGGTCTGAGCCTTAAATGTTTTATTAAAGATGCTCTAACTGGTTTTTACTGTCTTAGAAAACGTGAAAAACAGGAGTAGTTCATTTAAAGTTTATAGTGGTCCAAGGTTATTCTTCACTTACCTTATGCATCCTGAGCATCCGAACTATTTATCACTTTATGGGCCCTATCTTGCCACCAGTCTTTGTGCGTGCGTAAGTGTTAAGGAGGGGGCGTGTCAAGGTCGGGCTGTACTTGGCCACTGGAGGCATACATATATGTACCGTACATACTGTATATGGTGATGACATCTGAACTGATCTGTGACGACTGTAGCCTTTAAAAGCACTGCCAGTGTGGTTAATGTCTGCAGTCTTTGCATCCTGTTGTAATGACTGGCAGATCAAATAATGCAGACAGTGAAAGTCAAAAATTAACAGAATTTACTGATTACATCAAGAAAAAGGCAGGCTGCTGGGAGCTGGGTCAGGAGCTGGAGTGATTTCCAAAGTGGTATGTCCAAAAACCAGGTCTGGAGAAAACATAAGAAATGGGCAAAGATACTAGATACAAAAACTGGAGCCAAACTGTAAATACCATGGGGGGTTCTTTGATGATCATCTGACATGTGGATGCTTGAACTTATCCTTTGTACTGGAGAGGTGAAGGTTGATTGGAGATAGACTGCAGATGAATAGTGGGCGGGAACCAAAGAAGAGGAGCTCTGGAGCTCTAAGCTCCAGTCACAGTGAGACACAGAAAGAAGGAAGGAGACAGCACAGGGTATTAAAAAACAGAAATCCTGACACATCATTACCAAGCAGCAAAGAGGGAAAGAGGTGTGTGAGGAAAAACAGGGGGGGCAGCTCCAGAGCCCCATGATGTAACTATGCACTAGCAGAGGTGCCAGGAGTGTTCTGTGGCCCTTCTCACGTACGTGCCCCCCTGTAGGCCCGTGCATGCCTGCTTACGTCAAACATAGTTTTCTCTGTGTAGCTCAGTTCTTTCCCTGTGTTCGATTATCTTCCGACTCCCACTTGGACCTCAGATCTGTTCGAGCTTGAAGCATATTATTATGTTTTGCGTGTCAGACTCGGAGAGCCTCACCACAACACCGACTACCAGCCCCACGGGCAGTGATACGGACGTGGTAAGGTATTGCAGTGATACAAGTGACTGAAACATTTTAAGCCACCAAAGTGTCCAAACACAATGAAAACACTTAATATTTAGACGTCACAGTGGGTGGAGCCATCTTGGCTTCTGACTCGGAATACTTGCTCCGTCTACATTTTGCCACCAAGGTCCGATTCGCACCGTCCGAGGAAAAGGGGCGTGCCCTGCAACACGCTTTTCCGACATGCTTTTCCTCAGAAAACCAACTCGGAAGGATAACTGAATGCAGGGTTTTGCCTCCCATTACACAGCACCTCCCACCTCAGACCTGATCTCCTCTCTCCCTCTGGTCGCACCCGCTCTTGCCTGTCCCACTCCACCTGATATTCAGCCACGGCACACCTCTTGTTCAGAGCTCCACACCCCATGCTTGCGCTCATGCAAAGACAGGAGCCAATATACGACCCTACAAGTGCTTTTTTTTGTTGTACAGGACTTCACATACACTCTATTCTCTATTGTTGTACACTCTGTGACAAACTAAAGCATTCTCTGCTGCTGTCAAGAGTCTCAAACTAACATTTTTTATACTTTTAAACAACAATATGTAACCATTGCAATTTTTTAAATAGAATCTTGTTTTGTTTTTCAGTTCTGGCACTAGCCAAAGGACCAATGTGATCAGCTGTGTGACCGTCCACGACTCCCACGACTCAGACTCCTCCCTGAGCAGCCCCCTGAGCCCGAAGAGCTCCACCCAGACAGCCAAATCCACCGCTGTGATCATGCCCAGTGTGAGGAGCCAGGGGGCGCCAGAGGGGGCAGCAGTGCACAGGCCACAGGACAGAGCACAGGACAGAGCACAGGACAGAGCACAGGACAGAGCACAGGACAGAGCTCAGGACAGAGCTCCGGCCAACCAGGGTACTCAGACATTTATTTATTTGTTTATTTCTCAGAACCTCCTCAAAAACATACCTGGAGTTGGATTTTGTTTCATTAACTCATCTTTAAACACACAAATCCTGCATATTTAGGCCATGTTCTTCTGAAAACACTCTGATCCAAATTGTGATGTCAGGTGGTAATTCAGGGAGTGCTCCACTATGTTTTTAAAACCGTGGAATTTTCTATCATCTCTCTATCTATTATCTATCTCTCCTAAAGGCAGCTCTGAAAACTACTGCTTCATGACCAGTGTTGGGAAGGTGACTTTTAAAATGTATTCCCCTACAGATTACAGATTACATACCCCAAAATGTAGTTTGTAACATAATTAATTAAGTTACTTAAGGTGAGTAACGTAATCTGAATACTTTGGATTACTTGGTTTGCTGTAGAGAAGCAAAGACTCGGACATCTTCACATAAGATGTTTTGTCTGATAAAAAACAATAAAAAAGCCCAGACTTACTTAACCAAATTAAAAATATTAGTGATAGAAGAGGAGGAAACACGGTCCATGCAGCATGATTTAGTCCTGTTAAATCCTGTTTGAGACATACTTTTGACCTGGTTTAGTCCTGGTTTAGTCTTGGTTTAGTCTTGGTTTAGTCCTGGTTTAGTCCTGGTTTAGTCTTGGTTTAGTCTTGATTTAGTCCTGGTTTAGACCTGGTTTAAGACCCGATTTAGTGCCCGGCAATGAGTGGAATTACCAAAAAAAAAAAAAAAAGGGATATAGCCCAAAATGTGAAAACAGGAAACTACTGCTGTGTAATCCATTTATTTCAACAAAGTAACTGTAATCCAATTACCACTCACTTAAACAGTAACTGTAACTGGATACAGTTATTCATAATTTGTACTCTGATTACGTAACTCTGATACATGTAATCTGTTACTCCCCAACACTGTTCATGACATCATAACGTGCAACAGAGCATTTTGAGTTCTGGAGATGTGGAAGGACTAATAATAAATAATCACTCAAATGTATGTGTTCTAACATTCTGACAATGTTCTAACATGACTAAAAGCTCACATGAGTCAATTTTGCGTAATGTAGGACCTTTAACAGACGTAGTCATAGTCACATCAATAGAGATGACACCCATAAGGAGTAAGGCAGAAGATAAAAAAAAAAAAAAAACTTAGAAATGCCTACCCCCTCTAACATAACAGACAAGAAACTGATAGCTATTCATATTTATCTAACAGTTAGATAAATATGAATAGCTATCAGTTTCCTCTGCATATGTATGAGCATTGTGTACACAGACTAGATATTGAACCGCTGTTGGTTTTGGCGCTGCAGCTCTAATGTGTGTGTATGTTTACAGTGTGTTGTATTCAAACTACAGAACCAGCCCCAAGTGGAAAGTCTAAGAAATCCTCTCAGCCCAGTCAGAGCGGAGACTCCTCTGAGAGACATCAGCGCAACGCCACCAGTAGATCCCAACCCCTCAACCTCAGTCAGGTACAGAGCTGTGTGTTCTTGTCTGATTTATGTAATAGTGCAAGAATGGAAAAAAAAACATCTGTCATCTCCCTCTGAAATGATTTGACATATGTAAAAGTCTTAAAGTTAATAGCAGCTGGGCCTCATCCATGAATCTTTTCTTCAAAATATCTGTAACTTCCACTTTAAGAAGATGCCCAGAGAACAGAGGGACAGACACAGAATCGCGAGACAAACTCAGGAAATAGCAAAAATAATGAGAAGACTTTATTACTCACCTCTCGTAAAATTATAAAGTTAAACTGCAGCATCTCATCCATAGCTCCATAGAGAGTAGTTTCTTACATGTGTCTGTTTACATTAGCAATAGTGACTCTACTTTCTGTGGACTTTATCGCCAAACGTTTATGCTTTACAAATCATGTATCTTAAGTACTGCCCCACATTTCACAAATAATAATAATGCAGTTTTGATTTGTATCTACACTAGAAGTGCAGTGCTCTGGTCTTTTGAACACTTAAAAGTCTCAAGTGAGCGAGTGGTTTTACTCAAAACCAGAAACAGTTGACATGAGGTGCTCTCACGTCTGTGGTCCGCAGCTATATCCTGCTTCAGTCTTTGTGATCAGAGATTTATCCCTCTCCAGGCAGGCGTTGCAGATTTGCAACAGCTAAATGCCAATTACCTACTTACTCCACATCCATATTTTATGAGCTTTTTTAACTCAGGAGCCTTTTCTCCCATCCGTGCTGATAAACGTGGGTGATGCAGACTGTGCAAGAATGACTACATGCAAACGGCCTGCCAGAAGTGCAAAGTACTTTTTTTTTTACAAAGGATAAAAAAGTCAGGATTGTATATTACTACCCAATATTATAATTTTCCCCAAATATCAGATTTTTCCTGATACTAAAAATTAATTTGAGCCTGAGAGCGTTAAAATCTCATAAGACTCTCCTCGTGTCTGTGGTGTGCACTTTTTGTTGCACATTTCAAAATAGTTTAAGACAGAAAAATAGTGTGAGTGTAATATTTATGTGCTCTTTCTCTCCTCGCAGGTGCAGCAGTCAGTCTTGTCCTCCACTCATGACCAAACAGCAAGTGCTTCGCTCAAACGCCAGCCCACGTACCCTCCTCCCGTCTCCCCTCACGCCTCGTACCGCCTCCACGAAAACACCGCCCTCTTCAGCTCCGCCCCCAACCTGTACGCCTACCCCGCCTCCGCGGCGCTGGCCTCCGTGTCCCAGGCCGTGGACCAGATGCAGGGCAGGCAGAGCGGCACCTACCCCTCCCTGGCCCTGCTCCAGAAGAACCCCCAGTACCACCACGCCCACAACCACCACCAGGCCCAGCACCAACAAGCACATGCCCACCACCCACACCACCTCGCCGGGCAGCCTTTCCACCGCTCCAGTGCCCCCTACCAGAGAAAACTCAACCCGTACCCCTACCTGTGAGGACCGGGCTGTGAGTGAGACCAAAAGGGGAGAGACTAGACAGGAGCACAAGTTCATAAGAGCGGGTTTGACTTGAATTTATCCAACGTTCTTTGTCTGAGCTCCAAACCACTGGATGTGTCACCTGCAGCTGTATATAGAGACTACCTGTGCATTCTCATATCATCTGGTAAACATAACAACATAATTTAAAATGACAAAAACGATACTAAATTAGATATAAACTTAAACTTGCACGATGTAATTTTTCTGTTAGGGGTCAGTCATCTACTTCACATGGAGAAGTAGTTGTTTTGCTTGGAATGTTCCACAGTATGGCACTAAACTAAATCTGTCTGTATTTATTCTACTACAGGGGAGGTTACTGCTCAAAAAATACTTTCATAACATGCAGTCTTACAGTGAGCAGGCCAGCCTCTCCATTGATCTGACCTGTAACTCACGTCCTTGGCTCCGTGACAGATGCCTTTAATGCTGTCCTCTGGAACATTTAGCATTAGAAAAGTTACATAGTGCTAACCTGATCCATCAGCCAGTTTCACTTCTTGGAAACCGTTAAACCTAGGATTCGTTCGCTCAACAGTAGGCGAGGACTTTTTTATTTAACCAATCGCTGCTATTTGGTCGTGACATATGTAATGCGCCTAATCCCGTAGGAAAAAGAGCAATAACGTCTTCCCCTTTAATAAAATTCACCAAACATTCTCTTTGTTCCGGCTTTAAATCCTCGATCTTGGGAACTGTTACTGAATTGCACTGAATATATGGCTCTTCGCTGATTGGCTGGTGCCTGAACTCGTACTTCCAGGGTTTTTACGAACCGTCTAGTGTATTCTGATTCCTGACCTAGTCTCTGGAGAGAAATGAAATTGAGCAGAGACACTAGGTGGCGACAGCCTGGCTACACGAGGCCTGTTTCTTGAGAAAAATATTGAGTTACAAAATATTATAGATCTGCCTGCAGGGGATCTCAAACTGTAAAAGTGAATCAGTTATTCTATTTAAAACCTTAAACATCATGAGTTTGTTTATGTGGCAAAATTACACTATAACAGGGGTCTCCAACCTGTAACTCAGAAGCTACCAGTAGGTCTCCACCCTCTTCCAAGTAGCTCGCCAAGAGATTTTGGAATTATATTTTGATCTGAATAATAATAATTTAAAAAAAAAGTTTATTACATGCCTATTGCCATTCTACATGTAGCATTTTGTAGCCCAACTTTGTGCCCTAATAAATGGACAATGGTTTATGTTTTATAGGCGTCTTACTGTAGGCTTGCCATTTTTCTTATAATTTTCTCAATTTCTTGCGGCTGCTAAAATGAGTAGTAGAGTGACATTTTTGTTTCTCACTAGAGGAAAAAGGTTGGAGACTATACATTATATTTTTAAGATGTTCACAAAACTTTTCAAAACTGAAAATGTATGTCTAAAGTCACATAATAAATGACCAATAGACGTACTGATGAATGCACATATTTACAGTTCATTTCTTCCATGACGTGCGCTTAAACGAGCATGACCGGGTGACATATCCAGCGAGTTTGGGGCCTTACTTTGAAACACTTGGTTGAAGACATTTTGTGCTTTCCACGTGTCATTGTTCTCCAGCACATTCGAAATCAGGTATCAGCTTTTACTTTAGGTTCAGTGCTGGCTTTGGTCTAATTTATGCATTTTTATCAGTGAAGTTGTAGCTTTTATGTGTGGTCACTCATTTGTTTATGTGTTGATCTGCTTTCTAGAATTATAAATTGAAATCTGTAACGCTGGGAATAACTTTGAGTAAAATTAAAATTAACTAAATCAAAGCTATATTTATAATCAAAATTAAATAGATGTGATAGCTTAGAATTCTAAAAGCATGTTCAAACCTTTCTAAATCAAAGTATTAACTTAAAGGTGGAGAGTCTGACAGCTGTTTGTTTCCATGGAGATTCTATTAAGGTTTTGCGTCTACGTCACAAAAGCATGTGACCTGTTGTTTATGCCGCCACACTGGAGGTCAAACTATCTATCTGGAACAATATGGAGTATTTTGTGCGATAAAATAAGAAGGATGCGCTGTGCGGTTTTCACTTTCGCCGGCACGGAATCTCTCCCTCAATTTCCAGTGCCCGAGGTAACTACGGTTCTGATTTTGACCCCCATTCTACTCACCCTGGCTGTTTTCCGGAACAGATTTGATGGTTTCGTGATCAACAAAGATCTCACGCATTCCGCTATCAAATATTTATAAGCCTCTAACCCCTTGTAACTTCCCTTACCCCAGTTCTTGGTTGGCATAGGACGATGTAGAATGAATGAAGTAGTTATAAATATCTGGATACTGGAGGTTGGGCACAGAGCGAGTGTCAGAATTACGGATTTATTCCATGACCCAGGAGCATGAGTTCAGCATTATATCTTTCTAATGACGGCTGATCTAACGAGCTGGCAATTTTGGACAGTTTTATGTGTTTTGCGCTCTTTAAAGTAGCCATTATTACCGTATTTTATGCACTATAGGGCGCACTGTCATTGAATGGTCTATTTTTGAACTTTTAAACCGCACCAGACTATAAGGCGCATTAAAGGAAACACAACAGTTGGATAAGTCAGTCAAACTTTATTTAATGCATTCACAATAATTCTCAACTTTGTGCAATTGTAACACTTAAAAAAAATTCTGTCTGAGACACAAAATTGTTAAAGTATTCACAATAACTCATAATTGTTCAAACAGTTGGGCGATGACGGCGTCCAGCACGTCCACATCCCTCTCGTCATTATCCAAGTCAGTGTGGTTACTGTTCTGGCAGTTCACTGATGATTCCAGTCTTGGTGAAAGCTCGGACCACAGTTGATACTGATCCTTTGCCCAGGCGTCTACGATCCATTGGCAGATCGTGGCATAAGTTGCTCGGCGCTGTCTCCGTGTCTTGGTGAATGTGTGTTCTCCTTCTCTCATCCACTGCTCCCACGCAGCTCGCACTTTCACTTTATAACAGCCTTGAGTTTAAAGTGGGCATTGTAAGCATGTCTCTCGTGCCATTTCGATATTAAAAGGAATCACAGTATGTTTTACTCCTGATGCTCCTGACTACGGGAGCCGTAATGCTGCAAGTGGTGTGGCTTTGTAGTTTACTAAAGTCGCACTAAGACACAACAATACATTCATATATAAGGCGCTCTGGATTATAAGGCGCACATTCTTTTTTTTATTAAATTAAAGTGCGCCCTATAGTGTGGAAAATACGGTAAATAGTAGTAACTGAACCTTGACCAACCTTGACCTCCAGTATGGCTGCCAAAACTTTAAGTCATATTACTGCCACGTCACACGCAAATCCTTAATTGTTGTGCCCAAAATATTCCACAGTATGACACTTTTATTCAGTTACACATGGTTTTATTGATGACAAATACTTGGCCTGGTGGAGACAGATAGGTTTAATGTCATACTGTGGACAATTTCAGGCAAAGCAATGACATCTCCAAGCAGACAAGAAAAGTTTTACACTAAAAAACCTTTAAAACGATCTCAAATTCTTACCTAAATTGTGCTTTGTCTGTCGTGAATTGAGTTATTAGTTCATATTTGCAAATGAACATTATCCCAAATTTGTATTGGTCTTTCATTTTGTTTACTCGTTACACATCCACTATTGTTCGCCTTAGAAATCCCAAATAGCCCGATTTCTCCTTGTTCTATTTAAAGTGTCTGCACGCTGATAGATTTTAGATTTGTGCGTTCCTTTCTGAATGTATCCGTGCGAGTGTTTGTGTATTGTAGGATACGTGTGCCTCTGTACTGCTGTTATTGACGTCACTGTGGTTTCTGTCCTGTTCTCTTTAATTAATGGATGTTGGATGATAAGGCAGTACTATTTCACTGTTAATTCATATCCAAACGTGTTACAATGACTTGAATTCCAAATATTACTCGTGTTTTGAGTAGTTTAGGCTTGTGGCTTTAACCCTTTAGGTGCCAGTTTTTTTCTTAAAACGTTCTTAGTCCTTAGACCTGATTTAATCCTATTTTCATCATGGTTCAGTCCTGGTTTAGCCCTGGTTTAGTCTTACTTTCATCCTGGTTTAGACCTAGTTTAGACCTGGTTTAGACCTGGTTCAGACCTGGTTCAGACCTGGTTCAGACCTGGTTCAGACCTGGTTCAGACCTGGTTCAGACCTGGTTCAGACCTGGTTTAGCTTGAATGAAATTTGACACCGTATTTGTTAAACTTGGCCGTTTTATTCAGAGCGGCATCCTGTCAACTTAAGTCGACGGTTGCAGCGAGACAGTTAATATACTGTATTTATTCTTTACATTTAAATATAATTATCATGTATTTGTCTAAAATAGCACTTTCCATTTAGTCAAAGTTGTTTTAAAGTTGTTTTATCTGCACTGGTCGAGCAGTGTTTATCACGCAGACAATATACTAAAGATACACTATAACAATAACTTTTCTGATGGGGGGGGTACCAGCCATTTGCTGGTACTAATGGAGATGTTATAAATCTGGAATTCTTAAATGTTCCAAAGCAGTGTTTCCCAAACTTTTTTTCTGGGGATCCATATTTAAAAGTCACAAACCTTTGCGACCCAAGTCAATAGACATTATTCATAAAATAAAGGTGGATTTGACCATTATTGAACGTTAATGAGGATATTTTATTGTTGACTGAGTGATCGTAATTGAGTAATTAGTATTACTCAAGTTTTAAACAATGAAAAATATTGAAGCAGCAATAAAAGGATCCATAAGTTGCTTGGATATTAAATGTAGCCCATTTCTTTTTCTTATCAACATTCAATTGAACCAGCAATATTGGAACAAAATAGTCAAAGAAGTAATTACAAAAAGATTAGAAATTATACAAAACATGTTAACCTTAACACTTCTAATGAGAGAGGTGGGCCTGTTTGTGTTTTGTAGTGAGTTCCAGTCCAGGGTGCAGGAGGAGAGCGTAACTCGCAGATCAGATGACCCCAAGAAAATCTCTTGTGAGCCAAACAATGTTCCAGAGTATGGCATTAAATATACCTGTATCTATATTGCATTTATGAAATCACAGGTGTTTTTTGTATTGCTCAAAAGTGCAAAACTGCAAAAACTGGGTTGTCTCTCCTCAGATCAAAGACAGGTCCTTTAACTTGTCTCCGTGATGATAGATTATTTGGAATATTTTCAGCAAAGAAATAACATCTCCGGAAGACAAGCAGGTGAAAAAAAAACAAACGTACTACAAAATTTCACCTTCAATTTAGCCTTGGAATAAAACTACAATACATTTACAACCAGCGACTTGTCAAAACTACTCAAAACAAGACAAAGATGTTTTCAATTCAAGTCATTTTAACGAACGCAGATTCTTATTGCAGTGTTGGGCCAAATTGTGGACTTTTTACACAAGTTAAGGTTGCATGTGTCAAACTATGAAGTAGCATTTGGAGGAAGGGTAAAGATGGTGAATGGTGTTATATTCTGTACTACACACAGTATTACTTGAAAATATCCGAGCTCCTGTTTCGTGGTGTTTGTGAATTTGGTATCACATTTCTGTAAACAGCTTTTACATAGAGATTCTATAGGGATGCAATGATAAAGTTATAATTGTATTTACCATATGTGTATGATTTACTGTGATTTTGTGGGGAGGCTTGTAGAATTGTTTAAACTGTATTCCAATAATGCCTTATAAGTGCTTTCATCTTACTTTAAAAGATTAAGATTAAAAAGTGTGACTTCATGCTGGCAAAGGATCATGGTCTATGTAGTTTCCTCTCATTTTTCACCACTGCAATAATGCTTTTTAATTCCAGAAGCTTACAGCATTGTGTAACTTTTCTGGAGGAACGTACTCCACCTGCTTGTCTCCATGGCGATGACTGTGCTTTACCTAGAATGTTCCAAAGTACGGCATTAAACTTGTATCTTGCTTTTATTTCATGACAAGTGTTTTTAGTGCTGAAAACTACATAGAAAGACGTACATTTTCACTGTGAGCGCACTCGCCTCTCCAATGACATCGCCACGGAGACAAGTATGCATGCAGTCTTCTGAAAAAGTTGCACAGTGATCTCTATATTGTGCAATCCCATGATTCTGTGAGTTTTTTTTAATATTAAGAGTGTGTAATAATTTCCATATTGTTACATCCCTAGTAGATTCTAACGGTACAGTTCACAGTAATGCATTTGAAGTCACATATTCTAAAACATAGAATTATTTCAAATATAAATGAATGTGTAGTATTAACTGCCTAAGTTTGAGTCATTGGTTTGATGGATGTTGTGAAGTGCTGCATTTAGAACACACAGACCTTAACCCCAAATATTACAATAAAACTATTTAAATCAACTGGTGTGAATGTTTATGTTCTGAAAAGTCCTGAATAATCCTGGAAATGACCTTATGTGTGTGGTTTAAACTCTTGTGTAACTTTTGTGGTGGATCAGCCATGTGCTTGTCTCGGTGGAGATACTTCTTGGCCTAGAATGTTCCACAGTATCTCGTGTTTGTCGTTGTTTTCATACTGTGGGCAGTTTCAGGCAAAA